CCCCCCTGCGCCCGCCACTGATTATAGGGTCATAACTCATAGGTATAAACACTTAGGTAAGCCAGTAAGCTTCTGTTTAAGAGGATGTACACTATTTCAGTGGCGTATCCAAGGGGGGTGGTATGAGGTTGTAACCCCTCCGAAAATTATTCAATGTTTAATTCATTTAATGATCGATCAACATTATAAAATAAAATTCAACACAATTTAATGTTATATTTTTAACCTCCCTCCCCCCCAATCAAAAAAAAAAATGCTGGATACGCCACTGCACTATTTGTTTTCTCTCTCTAACCCACGCGTTACATAGACAAAACGCATTCACGCAGGATTATTTTTATACGTCTTTATCATCTTTATCAGTAATTTTAGAGTATAAATTCTCCATAATTACAAAAAAAGATAGAGATTGATATTTTTGAGGGAATGACATATCAATTTGTCTAAATATAATATTTTCTCTAAATAATTTAAATGTAAAGTATTTTTTTGTTTATTTTGAAAGTCGAATACAAAGTCAAATATCTAATATATATTAATAAGTCTATACGGAGCTTAAGCGTGTGTTGATAATCTATTTGTAAACACTTATATTAGGCTGAAAAAAAATTTATTTTATTTCGTATTATAWAATAATTTATAGTTGAGTTATTTCCCAGTCAATATATTAGTGAAATCTAGGAGACACCACTTGTAGGTTGGCTGGAAAGTCTCTCAAAAAGTTCTTCTTTTTTTTTTTAACTACAGGGGAATAGAATGATTATTACATATTTTTTTCATAATATTTACTTTATATAGCTCAAAATTCAAATTTGTAATTTCATGAATTAATTAGTATTATATTAGTTACAAATTTAAATTTATAGTTGTTTTTGTTTACAACACAATTTATAAAGTATTATGATTTATGAAACAATACCCTTATTGTTGATGTGAGACAAATATTAGTTACTATCAAACTACTACGCGTGGAACCATTTTGAGTTATCGAAGAACATTGCATATATAATTTATAAAGAAACGTATAAACGTATCATATATTTCTTTTTAATGTATTTATATCAATATATAGTAATCTATGTTGACATAAATACATAAACATTTGTAAATTTATTTTAAAAAAGCGGAAAAGTGGGTATCGCTCTGCTGTACATTATGTGGAGGGGTGGACCTCTGACTAGGTTAGGTTAAATTTGAATGCAATGATGGGTATCATTGTATACGAAAAACGATTCTGAACGGAAATGATTTGTCAGTCTAGGATA